CACACACACACACTCACTCACACACACACACACTCACACACACACAGATCACGAGACATTGAATGTTCAGTGTTACTGTGTTTCTGATAAAGGCAGCACTTGTCGCAACATGAACTTTTGTCACTTTGTAAGCACTTTTTAACGGCCGATCACGTTACTGAGTTACTCGCTGTTTCTGCATGTCATCAAACATCTACTTTACAGCCCCGACTCACCATATCACCACCGACGGCTGTTAATCATGTGTGTTCATGAACCTTTGACAGAACTGAGAGATTAGGAACAGCTTTGAGCTGTTTGTATCATAATACTTCTTTGCGGTTGTAAATAAATTTGTAGTCAATTATTCATCTTGTATTATTTGTCAATTTTCCGTCCCTTTTGAATAGAATCAGTTGTTTATTTAAATCATTCAAGACGTGAAGGCTCTTTTCCTCCGCATCATGACAAGTGAAAGAGATGTGGGCGGAGCTTAAGAAGACTTCAACATTATGTCAAACAATTAAAAAACATAAAACATGCAGGGTTGAATTGTTCACAATAAGATCTATAAGATGCATTCAGAGACTAGATGGGGTCATTTTCATTTCATGCAATCTTTAACAAATTAAAAGAACATTTACCGACATGAATCAACTTTATCTATTTTTAAAACTCTGTTAAAAAACATTTCTTATCTCTGGTTGCCTATGTATTATATATATATGTATATATTAGTGCTGTCAAACGATTAATTGCATCCAAAATAAGTTTTTGTTTGCATAATATATGTGTGCTGTGTATATTTATTATGTATATATAAATACACACACACATACAGTATATATTTTGAGAATATTTACATGTCTATTTATATTCATATAATTTATATTTTTTTAAATATATTTAATATATAAACATAACATATTCTTCTGAAAAATATTCATGCATGTGTGTGTATTTATATATACATAATAAATATAGCCATTTGTGTCCCTGCAGCACAAAAGCAGTGTTAAGTCGCTGGGGTATATTTGTAGCAATAGCCAACAATACATTGTATGGGTCAAAATTATACATTTCTCTTTTATTCCAAAAATCATTAGGATATTAAGTAAAGATCATGTTCCATGAAGATATTTTGTAAATTTCCTACCGTAAATATATCAAAACTTAATTTTTGATTAGTAATATGCATTGCTAAGAACTTCATTTGAACAACTTTAAAGATGATTTTCTCAATATTTAGATTTTTTTGCACCCTCAGATTCCAGATTTTCAAACAGTTGTATCTCAGCCACATATTGTCCTATCCTAACAAACCATACACCAATGGAAAGCTATTTATTCAGCATAATCTCAATTTCGAAAAATTGACCCTTATGACTGGTTTCGTGGTCTATGGTCACGTATATTAAAAAATATTTACATTTCAGTTTTTTATTTTTAATTATTTTAGTACTTCATCTTATTTTCTAATTTCTGTTTAAGTTTAATATTCATATCATTTTCATTTCAGCTTCATTTCAGTTAACTTACATATATATATATATATATATATCATCTGGTATATTAAACGTTATATTAAATTCTGTTTCATAAAGAAAGAAAGATGAATGAAAAGAAGTTGTGAGGGATAAAAGTACTTACTACTTATGTTTTCATTTTACTTTTTACCAGAGTTTTTTGTCCAGTGGATATTTCTGAAAATATTTTACGTTACTAAGTTTTCACCAGAAGGTCCAGTTATTACATTTTAATAAAACATGAGGCTAAAAAAAATGCACAGATGAATTGTCCATAATAAAATTAGTAAGATTAATTTTTATTTCATGCCAACTTTAATTACCTGTTGATCTCACAAATCCACAAACTTAATAAGTGTTCCATGTCTTTCCTGTAGCTCAAACAGTAAATCTTGTCACTAGCAACGCCAAGGTCATGGGTTCGATTCCCAGGGAAAACAAGGAACGATCAAATGTTAACGTGTGCGTTGAATGCAACGCAAGTCACTTTGGATAAATGCATAATGTGAATGTTGCTCATCACCTGATGATTGACGTTAGTGAACGAGCATCAAATAAACGAAAGCTGTGACACGAACTGTTCAGAGCGTCACGTTAACATCCTGTAAGCGTGTTTTACTTGATCCCGAGGAAGGTGAGCTCGGCCATGCCGTCACGGATGCCGCGGATGTACTCCAGCGTGGCGCGGTGAACTCTGACCTCGTACAGGCCCGAGCGGCGCACGTGTCGCAGGAAGTTGGGCGCTCCGGGGAAGATGACGTTATCGGCCAGAATAATGGAGCCCTCACCCAGCAGACCGCTGCCCTCCAGCAGATGCAGGTCCGGCAGGTAACAGCGCTTCCAGTGATCCATGAAGACCAGATCCAGACGCTCCACGCCGAAATCCTCACGTAGACGCGGGATCACCTCATCCGACGGACGCACGATCAGCTCCACCTGAGGAACAGATCAAACCGCTCAGACCAACACAGTGTTGGGGAAAGTTACTCTTAAAAGTAATGCATTACAATATTGCGTTACTTCCTAAAAAAGTTAGGAAGAATTACGTTCCTTAGTTACTTTTTATGGAAAGGAAAGCATTACTTTCTAAAAAAAAAAAAGTAACTAATTACGTTCCTTAGTTACTTTTTATGGAAAGGAAAGCATTACAATATTGCATTACTTCCTAAAAAAGTAACTAATTACGTTCCTTAGTTACTTTTTATGGAAAGGAAAGCATTACAATATTGCATTACTTCCTAAAAAAGTAACTAATTACGTTCCTTAGTTACTTT